AATTAAATTTAATACAAAGTAACTTTTCATGAAACATATATATAATTAATAAGATTTTAATAAATATTAAATTATAAATTATAAATTTTAAAGATTTAACTCATCAAATTAAAGTGATGATTTTGCTTTTGTACTAAGGGCATACTTGAAATAATATCTGCCCTCACTTATAGCCTATTTGGCCGAGTTTCTTCAAATTTAAAAGTATTTTTTTTATATTTGTTAAAGTTGAAGTGTTTGGTCAAGCTTTTGGAGGAAAAAAAGTATTTTTGAGGAGAAACAGTTTTGGAGAAGCAGAAAAAAATAATTTTTCTCCAAAAGAATTTTTTTATAAAGTACTTTTGAGAAAAATATACTTAGAAATACTTTTTAAAAGATTAATCAAAGTATTTTTTAAATTAATTGGCCAAATAGCTTTAAAAAATATAATTCTTAAAATAGGCTGATTTTAGCGAAACAAGCTATTATTCGCCTTGGCGTAGTTTTCAGCAACATCACATCAAGATTTCACATTTTATTAGAGATTCCAAAACCACCAATGAACAAAGTTGAATTGACAGAAAAAGAGAGGAAACAGAGTGGATAGAAAATGACTAAATGCATAAGGTTAATGACTGTTGTCTTTATATATTTTCACTTTTAGTTCAATTAAATATTGTTCAAGCACCTAATATTTTAGTCAAACTCTTCTTATTCTAATTTTATTGGACATTTTTACTTATCATATTTCATACCAAAATATCCAATGAATTAATTGAGGTAAACAAAAATTAAACCTAAATACACGTCATAAAAAGTAGCAGCCGTTACTGTTAGTTGTTGACCAAAGGTTGATAGCCCGGTCTTGTTTCAGATAGAAACTTTTTCTACTCTTTAAATACTTTTTTATTTTATTTTAATTTTTTTTCTACTCTTTAAATACAGTAACAAAAATGGCATTTTGTGTTACCATTTTAAATTGGGGTGTACTCATTAAATGCTATTTAAAGCGGAGCAGTGTGTTTTATAGCAAATGACTCTGTTTTTTTTTTATTGTGGGGTTCTTGAAATTAAGAAAAAGAGGTGTCTTTGAACTGCTAATTCTTGAAATTTTATGAGTTTTGGAATTGTGGAGTTGGGTTCTCTGAACAGAACTTTTTGAACTTTTTGCACAGTTGAATAAAGTATTGAAACTGTATTGAAGTTGGTTTTTCATCTTACGCAGAGAAGGGGTTCTGTATTTTCTCCTATAGGTAAGAATTCTTTAAATTTTGTTAGCTTTATTCATGATTATTATGGAAAAATTACAACTTTTTGAAGCTAATGGTTATTGCTATAATCTGTTTGTTTTTCAATTCATTTGCGATGTTGCATATTTTCTTACAGAATGTTTACCTCTAAGAAAACTTGTAATGTATAGAGATCTGATTATTTCTCTAGATTAATTTGATATTGGAAAAAAATTAATTTGAAGGATAGAGGACTGTCCTTGTCAGAGGCGGCGGCCGACGAATTTTGTGGGCTAAAGCCAAATTTTACGAGGAGCCTTAATTTATTTATTTTTAATTTGGAGTCCATTTTTCTATTTTTTTAGATGCAAAGTTATTAATAATTTTTTTATAATCAATTTTTTTTCCAATAATTCTTTCTCAATTGACAATATAATTAATCCATTTAACCTCTCGTGAGACATTATTGAGCTTAGTCAAGATTTTTATCAATTTTAATTTTGAAAAACTTCTTTTTGCTGAAGTAACAGTAACATGAGTTATTAACATTATTCTATAAGCAATATATGCATTTGAAAAAGAATCAAATCTTTTTATTTGATTGAGTATATCAATTAAACTGTTATCATCTAGTTGTACTATTTTTCTTAACATTTTTAATTTAGAAAATAAATCTAAATCATCAATATCAGATTGATTATTATGCTTCAAGGAACACTCAAGATTAAGGCAGTATTTTTCTAAATTTCCATCATCTAGTGATCTCAGTTTTTTACGCTAAATAGAAAACAAAAAATCTTTTCATATGTTTCAAATCCTTCAAATTTATTTTGAAGTGAAAAAAATAGTCTTGTCTACTATGTATAAAAAATAATTAACTCTGAAGGACTCTTCGAAAGATTTTGAGATTTCAATATCAATATTCTCATCAATTTTTTTTAATCACACGTTTCTTACGAAGTTCGGGTTTTGATTTTCATTTCAAATGCAATTTCCTTGGCAGAGATCATATTAGTTGCAATTTTTTTTACCCCTTAAGCTTTTAAGACCACAAGTTTTAAAAGTCTTTTTTTTTTCTTAAACTCTGTGGCGAGTCAGACAACCTCATTTAAATTGAAACATATGGAGTATATAATATATTAGGTATAACAAAAAATGGGGACCCCACAAATGTGGGGCCTAAAACAGTTGTTTTACGTGCTTTAGGGTAGGCCCGCCCCTGGTCCTTGTTAATATAGCATACCAAAAAGCCATATAAAAGCAGAATAAAAACAACGGTCAGTCATAAAAACCTACTACTAACAGAAAGCGAGACTGCATGCCAATACTACTGTTATGAACACTCTAGACTACCTACTCTACTACCCTAATCCTCGGCCTCCATATTTTCCTATCAAAAGTCATGTCCTTGGTGAGCTGAAGTTGCGCCATGTCTTGCCTAATCACTTCTCCTCACCTTGTTAATATAGCATATGGGTTGTCATTACCAGAATAAGATCATAAACTCTCTTGTTTTTTTTTTATTTGGAGCTGAACGCGTGAATTTATGAAACAAAGAATTTTGAAACTTGTATTTTGTAAACAAATCATAGATATTTGTGTGGCTATAGATTATCTCATTAAGGGTAAAATGAGAAGTTTTAAAGTTAAATTCTTTCTAACTAAGAAATGACAATTCTTTATATAACAGACTACAAAGGAAACTGTGCCATATAAATTGGGATAAAGAGAGTAATATTTAGTCCTATGCTAAATTTGACACTCCGTATTCCGCTCTTTTTATCAGAAACTGTTATGGGGATTGATGTTGCTGAAGTAAGTGAGACACCGCTGTCTCATCACGCTATTAAGGTATATACTACTATGCTCCTATCTCTCTCTCTCCTTTAGTTCCTTATCTGCACCTCCATGGGATTGTTCGTGTAAAGAGATGGCTTGATATTCATTTAGCCGACCCCAACTTGTTTGAGACTGAGGTTTAGATGTCTTCTTGTTGTTATTGTTCGTGTAATGAGAGGTGGTACTCTATAGTAGGCTTGTCACTTTGTCTTGTCTTGGTATCTTTACATTTAGTAATAGTACAAGTAGGGGCGTATGCATGAACTTTTGTATGCGATGTCAAAATCTATAGAAGAACACGAATAAATAACTTTAATTATCATATTTTTAGACGGTAAATAGCTTTAGTCCATTAATTTTGTCGAGTCTTAAGTTAGAAAAGATCCCGAATTCAATCCAACTTTATCACAATTTTTAACTATGGAGGCTCTCTCAAATATTTGCAAAAAAGTACGTGTTAGTTGTGATTCAAACCTCTGACCTCTTAGAGCAAAATCAGGCACATAACCAATGTGCCAGGAGACAATTTGTGTCAAGTGGTGTCATTTCTTCCTACGTATCCGTTTCCTCACAGTATTGATACATATATTTAGTAAAATTTTCCGACGAAGCGGTATTGCGCTTAATGTTTGTCCGCCCCTTGAGTATAAGTGGTTATTAATCCCTTTTCTTGGTAAATTATAGAGTTAAAAGAAGAGGTTTTTCCATTAATTGGACTTTGTGCAAAAAGCTGTTCGTGCTTGGATTTCAATAGTCCTAGTTTGTATTCCATGAATGGAACTGAAAAACTATTAAAACAAAAGGTTCTTGCCTCTTTGGAAAATTCTGCTGGTTGGGATTTCGTTTTTGAAACATTGTTAGTTTTCTAAATGTAATGATAGTATCTGTCAGTTTTCCTGTTTACTTTCCTTGTCATTTCTCCCACGCCATGGTGCCATCTACAAAACTTATATTTCTCTTTTCTTTTTTTTAAATTAAGTCGATCGATTATCTCATGAGTGGTTATGATGACTACAGGTGCATCGTCTAATGTGCATGGAACTAATTCAGTTAGTAACTAGAGTTTCAATATTACTTCCTGAAATTGAAGCAGCCCGTCCTCGATGCTTAGAGGCACTTAGCCTGTTGAACACTGAAATTTTCAAAGCCAAGACACTGATTCAGCACTGCAGTGAATCTAGTAAGCTATACTTGGTACGTATTCTCGATCAAGCTAAGCCAACCAGCTTTGTGTTTAACAGTTTTTGTTAAATATATCTCGCAAATCAAATCATATTACTGGGTTGTTGTTGTTGTTGTATATCTCGCAAATCATAAACATAATTGTTGTTGTTGTATATCTCGCAAATCATAAACATACTTTGATGATACTCTATTGGCTTTATTCACTGAATAACAATCTGTATTGTGTTTTCAGGCACTAACAGGAGATGTTATACTTTCACGATGTGATAGATCAAGAAACTTGCTTAAGCAAAGCTTAGGCCAAGTGCAAAATATGGTTCCAGTATCGCTGGCTGCAAAGGTCAGTCAGAAAACATTCCTTTGAGAGAATCATCTATGCATAACTTTTTTTCCAGTGTTCTTGATCGCATAGTTCTTGATCTGTTTCATTTCTAAATTTACATCCAAGCTTGTGGTGCTTGCTAGTTAGTAGATTTTTCAACTAAATGACAAAGTCCGTAGTGTGCATTTGACTAGGCAGATATCGTTGTCATAGAATTTTTTTTCTTCATATTCATCTTTTCTTTCCCCATGGTTTTTTCCTTTCTTTTTTCTGTTTTATCTGGTTGGTTACTATAGTTGTTTGTGTCCTGTGGCAATCCACTTTAATGAGAAATATTGGCTGCAGATTTTGCTACTGATTGCTGAACTGAAGGATGCGATATTCAGCTTGGATCCATCTGAAGAGGAGGCAGGGAAGGTTGTGATGGAATTACTTCATCAGTATGTGACAACAGATTCAGCGGAAGAACATGCCTTTGAGGCAATTCAAGTTGCTATGCGGAGGCTTCATATCATATCTCTACAAACTCTTTTAGTAGAGAAAGATCCATCAAAAGGATGCTGGGGAGAGTTGGGGACGGTCATAAAAAGAAGATTTTATTGCTTTTTCTGAATATCCTCAGTAAGCATGGAAAATCAATCGTGATAGAGCAAACGGATAGCGGCTCTTTGCAACGGAAAAACTCTTTCCTATGTACAAATCAATGTGAAGCAAAATCTTGTTTGAGATGTGGATCTGACGATGCTCAAGAGGACATTCTGAGGAGCTCTCGACCACCGGATGAGTTTAAATGTCCTTTGTGTTTGAGATTAATGTACGATCGTGTTGTAATTGCCTCTGGACAAACGTTTGAAAGATTTTGGATTCAGAAATGGTTTGCTGAAGGTCATGATACATGTCCATTGACTAAAATGAAATTGGCCCACTTGTCTTTGACCTCGAATTACACAATGAAGGACCTAATATCAAGGTGGAGTGCAACACATGGCGTCAGTGTTCCTGACTCGAGCATGGAGGCAGCAGCGGCTCACTCATTTAAATCTTCTTTGAATTCAATTGCTAGCTTGAGCAGTTCAGTGAATGATCTACGTCTTCCTATAGAATTCAGCAATTTATCTTGTGGATCGCCAGATGCTGGTCTTGTGTCTGTTGCTAAGACACCAAATGACTTCGATGTGGTTTCAGGGGAAAGCAATGACAGTATTCACAAAATTCAATCTGGTGTAAGCATTCAAGATATGGACCTGAATCTCTTAACCGGGTTCAGTTCACTTTCTTGGGAGTCAGAATGCATCTTGGTTGGAAATATTAGTAACTTTTTCAAACATAGCGATCAAGCTTGCAGTTGGATGTCATCCGAGGATTTTGTTCTAACAATGGTTAGATTTTTGAATGATGCACGTGATTTCAATGATCTAAATGCCCAAATACTGGGATGTCTATCATTGTCAACAGTTTTGCAGAAATGCAGGTAAACCTTTACTCCGCTCTACTCTCTCTGTGGGTGTGGTGGTTTTGTATTCATGTTAATTTTTTTGTGAAATTGTTTCTAACTTCTTACCCTTTTTAAGGTAAGGCTTAATATCAGGGTTGGATCTAGTAATCTACATATGTGTACAAATTAACACGTAACTTTTAGCTTAGACCTGGATTTATATGTGTAAAATGTATTGGAATTGTTGAAAATATTAAACTATGAACCCAGAACTTTAATAAGGTGACGGGTTTAGTCGTTCGTACCCGAGTCCTGAACCTATAAAATTTAAATCCTTGATCTGGCTCTGCTAGAGTATCGAATGAATTTGGTCCAAGTTGGTTCACCGCCTTTTTGTACAATTTATTTCCAATTGGTTAATGCCTTTCAGAAGATGCTAGTTCAGAATTTAAATATGAAACTAGAATGTGAAGTAGTTCCTCCACTCTGCTCTGTGTGCGTGTGTGTGTGCGTGTAGTGTGTGCGTGTAGTGTGTGTGTTCATGTTAAGTTTTTGTGAAATTGTTTCTAACTTCATATCCTTTTTAAGGTAAGGCTTAATATCAGGGTTGGATCTAGTAGTCTACATATGGGTTCAAATTAACACGTAACTTTTAGCTTAGACCTGGATTTATATGTAAAATCTATTGGAATTGTTGAAAATATTAAACTATGAACCCAGAACTTAAATAAGGTGATGGGTTCAGTCGTTCGTACCCGAGTCCTGAACCCATAAAATTTAAATCCTTGATCAACCTCTGCTAGAGTGTCGAATGAATTTGGTCCAAGTTGGTTCACCGCCTTTTTGTACAATTTATTTCCAATTGGTTAAGGCCTTTCAGAAGATGCTAGTTCAGAATTTAAATATGAAACTAGAATGTGAAGTAGTTCCTCGTGCCGAGGATCTATTGGAAATAGCCCCTTTACATTCATTGTAGGGGTAAGGTCTGGGTACTATCTACCCTCCCCAGACCTCACTTGTGGGACTATACTGGATTTTTGTTGTTGTTGTTGTTGTTGTTGTACTAGAATGTGAAGTAGTAGTCCTGTTTAATGTTTAATGATACAAGCTCAACTTGTACGCTGTTTTGTCTTGCTTTTTGGTTTCTCTATTGTTCTTTTAGCTTGTGTTGTTTCCTCACACTAATCCTACAAGCGTTGTTTTGTATCAGGAGCAATTTGCCAGATTTGAATGACGATGCTTTTGCACTTTTGGTATCATTTCTTGGAACTGAGGTTTCTAAAGAAGCCCTTGCCGTATTGAAAGTATTGTCCTGCCACCAATATTGTCAACAAAAAATTGCGGCTTCTGGTGCTCTGACTCCCATTCTAGAGATGCTTGTTACCCAGAATGCAGAATTGCATGGACCAGCCATCAAAATATTACGTAATTTGTCTGAAAATAGCAGAATTGTTTCCTTGATTACACCTTCAGAATTCATTCCAAAGTTGATTCCTTTTCTAGAAGATACAGCTCTAGCAAGCGACACTCTTATTATTTTGAAAAATTTGTGCTTCACTGAAGATGCTATGACTTCTATAGCTAAGACCGATGGATGCATTTCTTTGGTTGTGAAGCTACTCGACAGTGACAGTCGTGAGGATCAGGAGCATGCGGTGGCTCTTCTTCTTTCTTTGTGTTCTCAATGCATTCAACACTGTCGGCTGGCCATGGATGAAGGGATCATCATTGATCTTTTCAATATATCTGTCAATGGAAATAGCAAAGGGAAGGCAACGGCTATGGAGTTGCTGACACTGTTGAGAGGTGAATTTAATAATAATGAAGAATCTTCAGTTGCGGATGTTGACATTTCTAGAGGCTATACCATTGACCTTACACAGCAGAAATCTAGTTCAAAGGAACCTGGATTTATAAAGAAGTTATTCTCAAAACAATGCCGCGCATAGCAAGAGCTTAGTGCACCAGACTGCCCTTTTATTCTCAAAACAAGGTTCGCCTACTCCTAGAAGTAAAAACTAGTACTCAGTATATATCTTAGAATGAAGGTTGCCAGACTACAGTGAGTATCATGTTAGCTGATTACATGTCCTCATAACTGTCTGTACGAGTTGTGCTGATTTCGTCTAGATAAATATGTATGCTATTGCATGATATGATGTGTACAATTTCTCTACTTCCTCTAGTTTTTTTTAGTGTTGAGAAGGAAGACTTTTCTGAGACTTGTAGCTGTAAAATATCTTCCTTTGCTATTTTTTTTGGTAAGTAGATGGATACTGTTAAATGGTCTAAGAAATACTAATGAAATATGTATAGATCTTCTTACCCTTGTCAATGAATGATAAATCCAATTTGGTAGTAGTGGTCAAGTGGCTAATGTAATTTGATATTGTGACAATATGGTTCGAATTCATTCACAAGGTAGGGGTAAGGTCTGCATACACATTACCCTCTCCAGACCCCACTTATGGGATTACACTGGGTTTGTTGTTGTTGGTTCAAATTGTGACCTCTTGATCACTGGACTGTCATCCTAATATGAAAATTTGTCTCTCTGGCAAAGTTTATGGTGGAAACTAAACATGTTAAAGTAGTCCAAGAGTACCTATCTACATGCACTATAACAATTTTTGTATTCTGTCCTTGTTGAGTTACTTCTTGAAAGGAAAAAATGATACCAGGAAACTAGAAAATTCAAAAGACCTTGCTTGTTGCTGCATTTTTACACCTTCTGCATACAAGAGAAAAACAGCAATGAGATGCCTATGGATTATAGAAATGGCAAACAGGGCGAGGTCAAACGAGGCAATTGAAGTCTTACTTCGCAAAAGTCTTAATCCGCCTTACCATGCCATGCCGAGCAAACTTCTCTAGTTTTGTCCGCCTCGCCCTGCATAGACATGCATGGTCCCGTTTAAGTTTTGTTTTATTTTTCTTTTCTTCTTTCCAATGTTATTTAGCTAAAGTTGACGAGATTAAAGTTGTAAAACTTGTTAATTTTCATTTAACCCACCTTTTGCCTTGTCCTGCATTTGACTTAAAGAAAATTGTTTTAGTTCGCCTTATCCTGCCCTACATAAGAGCTCCCTTGCCCTGCACCTGTCTCTAGTGGCAGAGCCACATAGACGGAAGGGTGGTACATAAAAAATTATAATTATGTACATAGAGAAAAATAGCGTGTATATAGGCCAAAATTTACTTTTTGCGCGCACACACACATATATTAAATCTTGAACAAATTAGAAAATTCCTGGTGGAACTGCGTTTTATCGCTGCCAAGCTTCCGGTATCTACTATTGAAGAAAGTTTCAAACAGTAACTATCAATCAGTTAGGCCTACTTGAAGATTGTAATCTCCCAGCAGTTTGCTGCTAAAATATTAAGATGGTCTTCAGGTGCAATGGATAATTGGAGGCCCATACATAGCTGTTGTATAAAGCCTTTACAGCGGTGAGGTTTTTAGAATAGGTCCCAACTTTTCTAGATTCATACCCCCTTTTCTTGTATTAATTAACAGATGAAAATGTGAAGAATGAGTTTAATTTCTTGGTTTTAATTTTCTGGATTTTTGGCTATTTGTTTGTATGTCAGCCAAGTATACTGTCCCTCTTGTGTTCTCAACTTTTTGTTGGCGTCCACTCAACATTAGTTAAGAGTAGATTGGAAATAATACTGTAGGGTCTGTACATTGTGTACTTAGGGATTTCAATAATTGAATGCACAGGGAGATTCAATACTCTAAGCCAGTAAATGTAAATAGGAAATAATTATATACTCCCTCTGTCCCCGCTTATGTGTAATAGTTCGAATTACGAGAGTCAAACTTGTGAATTTTGATTATAAGTTTAAATATAGAATTTTTAATTTTTGAAGTTCAATATAAATATTTCAAAACTACGTAAAAAATACTATAAGTCACAATAATTAATAATTTAAAACATTTAAAAAGCATATGAAAAAATTATGATGAAAAAACTCGTTTGACTCTCGAAATTCGAACACCGCCATATAAATTGGGACGAGAGAATTTTCTATGATGAAGAGGACCCTTGGAGCAACCGTAAAGTTGTCTCCGAGTGATCTAGGTTATGAGTTCGAGCCGTGAAAACAATTACTAATGATGACACTAGATTAGATTATCTACATCACATTTCGTGGGGTACAACCCTTTTCCAAATCATGCGTGAATACGAGATACTTTATGCATCGGGCTGCCTTTGCTCAGAGATATATAGAGACGATGCAGGAAATGGATTTGGTAATAAACTAAGGTTTGAAATAGTGAGCTGCGCTATTTCTATGCTTCCAGCTATTCAACTTACTTTACTCCTTCCAATTTTAAAGCGAAAAAAGTATTTCTCCCTTTTCTCCAGGGGACACAAAATTTATGGGTTAGTCCATTTTTGGAAAGAAAGAAAGTGGACATATCGTATTCGTTCATTGTCTTTGTTCTAAATTTTGGCTTTCCCACTGGAAAGAGAAAGAAAAAAAAGATCATTGACATTTATTAAGATTTGGAAACATTGCATCTTTCAACATTCATATCACATCAGAATTATTCCAATTACCAAAAACTATTGCTTTCTAGGATTTGCACCATTTTTTTTAGGATTTGCACCATTGTCTGTTTCTTTTCTAGGACATTTTGTGTAGAGAACAAGAATACTACGCCTAAGTGGATAAGGAGAATCGCATGGATAAATTCAATATGTTGACTTGCTTGTACACTTGTTCTTAATCCTTTCACAAATCATATATAAAAATTTACCAATATAGTTGTTGAGAAAAAGAAAGATAGAAAGATAGAAGGAATGTTAAGGATATAAAAGGAAGGAAAAAAGATGTTATATTGGGCTGTAACAGTTTAAGGGCAGTCCGGTGCACTAAGTTCCCATTATGTGCGGGGTCCGGGGAAGGGCCGGACCACAAGGATCTATAGTAAGTAGTCTTACCCTGCATTTATGCAAGAGGCTGTTTTCACGGCTTGAACCCGTGACCTCCTGGTCATATGGTATCAACTTTATCAGTTACACCAAGGCTCCCTTCCAAGTCGTTTAATTTTTTATAGGGATCACTTAATTACTCCTTTCGTCAGTTTACCTATAATGAATTTGAATTAGTTGGACCGATATATTTTAAATACCAAATGATTACATGAAATGGTCTCTTAGCATTAGTAAAGAGGCTAGTGAGTTGAGGCGGAGTCAGGATTTGAAGTTTATGGGTTCGAGATTCTAATCTTTTTAAGTTATTGAACTCTTAGCATTGTTTAACTTGACTATATAATTATTGGATTGCTAGATATTGAAAATATGTAGTCTTATTCACATAAAATAATATATACTTTCTTGAAAATTTATTATAAGTATTAGTAATGCAGTGCTTTTGTTCTCTCTTTATAGTTGATCTCCTTTATTGAATTTGGCATTGCTATAGTACGACAAAAGATTAAGGAAAAGATATCACATCTTTCAGGCTTTGTTAAAAAATGTGATTAGGGAATTTCTTAGTTGTTCAGACATGTAGCATCTGATTAATTATGTTATTTTTTTCTCCCAAAATTGTTATCTCTTCCCCGATTCCTCCCCTTTGAGGAAACTGCCGTTGACTTCTTCTCATTCCCTCACTAGAACCTGACAGGTCAGGAATAAAAATCCAGATATGAAATTTTAGAAAGGGCTGAAAAGGAATAAACAAGAAAAAACCAGAAATAAGAGAAGATTTTCGATTTTGTTTCTTTGCTATTTTCGATTTCTGATTTTAGCTTAATAATTTCTGGGAATTTGGCGGATTGAATCGCTGTCCATTGCTATCGAGTTGCACTCGTTTGGTCACCGGTTTGTTGCTGTTATGTTGCCGGATCTCCTCGCCTATTTCAGAAGCTTGCTTGTTATTTTTCGGCTGCTAGTTACTTTCGGTGCTACACCAGTGGTAGCGGTGACAACCCTTTTTGGTTTTTGGGTCGTGGTATTTTCTGTGTTTTCAGGGAAATTCTCAAAGTTGTTGGAGACAAGTTGGGCGCACGAGCACTAGCAAAGGAGAGCAACCTGGACGAGCGTCAGCAAAGGGCGGTGGGAAGCGGTGCGTGAGCTTGCAAGTACATCGAGGGCTGCAAATCAACACAGGTTTGGTTCTCGGGAATTGGTACCTCCCGTTCTACTGTTTTCCTTTTGGTGTTAGCTAAATTGATGTTACTTTAGTTCACAATAGTTAAATCATTCAATAGGTGTACCGGTAGTAACTTGTTTCCTTCTAGTTTGATTCGTTGTCCGTTGTGCACTAGCGAGTCTTCTGTAGATTTGTCGTAGGTGTAGTGGCGGCAGTCTGGGATGATAGATTAAAGGCATGTCCTCAGGTGGGGCAGAGTG